AGGAGCTATTTACAGTTTAACTTTGATTTCACTTGTGATGTATTTTTTTCTTTGCTATGTCTTAAACCGGAGGAGTCGTCATGCAACATGTGTTCGAATTGGATGTAATTAAACAATCTGTTGTATTGGCACTTGGGACTCAAGTTTCAAGGACACGCTTGCGACAACCCCTCCGCTTTAATATGACGAGCACAAAGAGAACTTTTAACAATTTAACGGGGACTGTGTCATTTTCAATGACTTGTTTTTTAGGAATTTATGGTTTTATGAATACTATGGCAAACACTAAATGCACTACACATTCTAAATAAGAGACCATACAAAAAATGATGTATGCAAACTTGTTTCCATGGAAATAATGATTTTGTTGTTTCCTCCTATGTGTATCTATAAGTTTACTCTGTTGACCAATTTAATCGGAATTTAATCAAAATGCTCACAACTTTGGATAATAATTCAAAAAAATAGTTTGTGTTACCATGGTTATTGCTTCAGAAATAACTCTGCACATTGTAGGTAATACATGTCGAAAGTCTCCTATCCTCTGTTCTTAGAGAAACTCATGAGTATATAATTTTTGCAAAGGTTAATGTGAAGTCAAATGACCAAAACTTACGTGTTTTTTGAGTGTGTATTTTTGGTACTGCATACGTGAGAATCCATGAAAAACCGGCACTATCACTAAATGAAGTCACAAATGAAGAGCTCTGTAATGATGTTTTGAGAGCCAAGTCTAATGCGATGTGAATCATTTGATGTAAGTTGATTACAGATGACTAATACATTGACTAATCATTTTAACAGAAGCTTCTCATTTTACTGGTTTATCTGGCTAACTTTGACTGGAATCACAATGGTTTGTGCAATCAGGTAAGGATTAATAAATTACTTGATTCATGTATTAATATGAATAGTTTCAATTGAAAAAAATCTTCTTGCTTGTGTTTTCACTGTTTTTTTGTTTTTTTTACTCAGCCACTTACCCAATTATTCATTCATTTATTCACCAAATCATTCATTCCCAATCAACTCACTATTAATTCATTCAGTAATTCTCACTCACTACAACCCTATCTCGCCTTTCCTTTCTCACACACCCTGAATTACTCACTAATGCATTTGTTCATTTAATTAACTAATTTATTTCTTTTTACAGTGTTAAATACAATGCTATATTCACTGCCTGCATTATCTTCACGATTATTGGAATGGATTATTGGGAATTAATTGGAAACAAGAACCTATCTGTGGTAAGTATTAGTTTCCTTCCTCTTTTCCAATGTGGTATCATTATCCCTATTGTTTCCATGCTCAATAACATGCCTACTGGATCATTGTGCCCAAATTCCTGCATGGTATCAAAATGCATTGTTCTCTTGTCCTTTTAGTTACTGTAAAGAGGTTTAATTATTCACTGAGTTTTAATTTTGCTTATTTCGCTGACTGGAAAATGTGCTAAATTAAAACCCAGTGAATATGTACAATTTAGCATAGAACACATTATCTAAATGATAAAACCGTGAGTTTAAAACCCACTGAATATGCCTGAAATGGTAAATCAGTGAAAATTAGTCATTTTACTATACTTTCGTTTTTACAGCAAGCGAATTGGATAACTGCTTGTGTTTTGACTGAACGATTGGCTTTCGAATTTCGCTGGCGCCCTCCTGTGGTCACGCCCACTCTGGGTGAATCTTTATAACAGCAGGGGGTGGTCATACTTTAGTTGGATGGCGATTTCGCTCTCAAATATACCAGAGAAAGTATACAAGGGATTGTCTACGCGAAGAATGACAAATTTTATTAGCGGTTGGTTTTAAATGTTACCCCAACGAATTGTTTGGATGTTAAAATTTATTTTCTCCCTGATTTGTAGGCAACTGTTTCTCAAATTATCCCTTTGTTTAGTGTTCAAGCTGGCTACCCCATATTGTAAATATCGGTGGATTAATCGCATTTATCGTATTATCACTTGTACGCCAACTGACTGTGGCTATTCTCAGGCTGACCAGGGAAACTGCTTTCACATTATCATGCCTCGCAAAGCAAATCATTCAGGGGAATCCAGGCATGCCGCCAGGCTACGTAAAGGCATTCTATGTTCCCTAATGCAATATAGACTCGCCCAGATTGAACGCGACCATGAGTCCGCGCCAGCGAGATTCAAAAGCAAATTGTTTAGTCAAAACCCAAGCGATTAGCCAATTTGCTAGCGAGTTCGCAAGTTGGCTGCCCCAATACTTCTGAGACTTGCTTTAAAAAAGTATGAAAAGTTGTGCCATGAGGTCATCCAACTTTCTTGATCTTGACAAACTATGAGTTTGAGTTTAAAATAATCTGATTATTTCTTTCTTTGTAGATAAACTTGCTACAACATTTGGTTTCCTACATTGGATTATTATTACTCGTTCCATCTCTTATTTATATTGGCGTATTCTATGTTCATCTCTCCATCCTCAATCAAAGTGGTCCCCATGACGATATAATGACTAGTGCATTTCAAGCTACTTTACAGGTAAGATATGAACAAACAATAATACAATCTGAATTATGTCCCGAAACAAAGAAAATATCTTAAAAACAAGATTTTCATTCTTTGTACCTCTAGAGGGCAGTGCTTAACAATTTTCCACAAAAGTCCATAAAAGTGACACATCTACACTACATGCATTACTATACAGTAGCTTAGACTGGCAGCGTCTTCAAATTATTGCAACATAAAATGATCTTCTACTTTTATACTATGAGTTTGTGCAATGATGTTTTTTGAAAATACAGATGAGAAAGCCTGTCAAATTTCCTAATTTTCTCATCTTATTTCAACGAATTCATCAATTTGTCAAATTCATCTCTGATCTTATTTAGCATAAAGTAATGTACATTTCTACAGGGAAACCACGTAGTCTCATCTGTAAATTTTCAACAGTTACATTACTACAGCGATATATTCAGACTCATCTATTCTTCTGTTTTCTACTATTTGTCTTTCCGCTTGTCTCTGATAAAATGTTGTTTATAATACTGTGGTTTACAATAAAGTTCTGTGAAATACTTTATTTTCACTTGGAATAAATTTTCGCTGTTTTCACTGAAGGAATGATTCGGTGAAAATAAATCCCGCGAATATACCTTTTCCTATATTGTACATTCAACTCGTCAAAAATCAGTGAAAATAAATTCCATACAAAAAATTCAAAAAGTCTTTTCAGTGAAAATTAATTACAGCTAAAATAAAGTATTTTACAGTAATAGCTTGTATTTGTTTCTCATGCAGGGAGGGTTATCGTCTATCACGAAAGGCCAGCCATTAGAAGTGTCCTACGGTTCACAGGTGACGTTACGTAATACACATGGTCAAAACTGTTGGCTTCATTCCCATATGTATATATACCCTATAAAATATACAGATGAGAGAGGTAGTAGTGCTCAACAACAAGTCACATGCTACCCTTTCAAAGATGTTAACAACTGGTGGATTATTAAAAACCCAGGAAGGTAAGAACATCTTAAAGACATGTATGTTTTGTAAAAATAGTTGTTTTCAAATGTTGAGTTTTAGTATTGTTTCTTCTTGCTTTATTATCCCCTGGTATGTAGAGAGGGTGGGGGATATAGCAGTAGTGGCTAACAGTATCTATTCATCCATAAGTCTGTGCAAAGTTGTATACTGTGAAATAATTTATTTTAGCTGGAATTAATTTTTGCTGAAAACAATTTTCAGGCGTTTTGTATGGAATTTATTTTCACTGATTTTTGACGAGTTGAATGTAAAATATAGGAAAAAAGATGTATTTGCTGGATTTTATTTTCACTGAAACATTCCTTCAGTGAAAACAGCAAAAAATTAATTCCAAGCAAAAATAAAGTATTCTATAGTTCATTATTTATATTACAATGCAGACGAGATCTGATTAACATATTTATATGTTCATGTGACCTCATAATATAATAATATCTTGAACATTATTGCAGATATAGACATTCAACTAGTGCTTGTAAAAAAATAATGGGGGATCTGCCATCTCTGATGGCTTTCTTGTTGTCTGTGAATAAGGCCAAAGATATATCAAGTTTTGTTTCCAGTCCTGGAAAACATGTGCATGTCATTTTATTTTTTAAATTGGATTCTGTATGGCAATCCGGGCAACCATTTTGATATAATGAATAATGCTAAAATTTCAAAAATACATTATCATGTCTTGCGTTACAAATGTACGCAGATAAATTTCCCAATTCAAGATGTTCTAATGGTTTCTGTTGTAAATGTAACATTTCGGAACTGGACCATACACGATCGAAATGGCTTGCTGGTTTCAAGTTTAGGATTGTTCTCGTATTCAACCAGAGATTGAATTTCATATAGAATCGTACTTCTCCCTTCCCCTTAAATAACTTCATTCCCTTGAATAACTAACATAGGATATTTTTAATTGACTGAAAGGAAACATCATTTTTTTCCCAACTTAGAGATTTAAAAAATGGATGCTTAACTGCCACCAAGATGAAATAGCCCATTGACACACTTTGGTGAGCTTTGACAATTTGAGAACACTTCTCACGATGTGTCATAAGGCCAGGAAAAAAAATTCTCTGTTTCTCGTTTCATGGAAATTTTAAAATTTTTGTTTTTTGAATACTAAGCTAAAATGGGGGAAATTTGAGACAAGTGCGAGTACAAGGGCATTTTGGAATGCTTTAGAAGAAAAAAAACACATCTGAGGTGCATAGTTCAAAATGATGTGACGAGAAACAGAGATATTTTTTTCTCAGTCTAACTTGTTTCAATCTACACACATAACTGATGAAGAGGGTATTTTTCAGATCTAGTCTTACAGTCGATAACCCACCTAAAGCGGTAAAGCACGGAGATGTCATCCAACTGCTACACGGTACAAGTGGTCGAGCACTTAACAGGTAAACGACAAACAAGTTATGTGGGGGGGGGGGGGTTCAATATCACAGTTATTTCCATCACTATGTTGTTACTGCCAGCTATGATCTAAACAAAAATTTGTTTTTTAAGGTAGCGGGACTATTATCTGCATACTTGTTTTCATCTTCTAATTGTGACTAAATGACTACAAATAGACCCGGGAAAGTATATATTTTTAGAATCGCCAGACTTCAAGCTTTTCACAAGTGTATTTTGCATGCCCGTATCTGCATTCTACGACGCATTACTCAATCAAAGGTGAAAAATTACTTTTTCTGTAAAAAAAATAATTACGCATTTATGCTGGCGATAAGAAGTATTTTTTTCACTTTTCCTAGTTGTTCAATAGTCTGGTAAATTGAATGTGTCTGGTTAGTTTTATTCAAGCAACGCGTTTTAAAAAATAGTGTCCTGAATTTCAATTACTGTTTTAGTCGCATTGCCCCCAACTCAAACCACAACTCGTTGGTAAATAATCGATGAAATAGTTTGTCTGGACACATTCAAGTTCCTCTCATTGTCACCTTAAAGCTGTGAAAATTTGGTGTTAATCCGACGACAATAAGTATACGTTATTTTTTGTTAAAGACCTTGTATTTTGAAAAA